TAAATGCAAGAGTGTTGAGTGGTAAGTGATCTTATCCACCCATCAGCTGATTAATGATGAGGTATACGCGATTCTTAACTTTGTTTTAATGATCAGCAGCATGATTCAAAGGGTGTGAAAAAGAAAATACAGATCGGCATCCATGCGAATGCGCACAAATTTAAGACGACCGAGTTTAATTATTAATTCTGTGACAAATTAATGCATGATTAAGCGTTTTAATTATACTCAATGCAAAACGATAAGATTACCAAGTGATAAACCACAAGTGACATTTCAACATATATTTCATGAGACTTCATTCAAGGTAAAACATTTTCATCGTGATGCTTTTCGGTTGATGTTCATGTCGTATGCAACAACGTGACTAATGTCCTTTTTGGATCGGAGGAAATTATGTATACCTCAGTGCTCAATGTTAAAGTTAAGTAAACACAGACTTTACCGACTTTTCGAAGTCTCAGTTGTCACAAACGATGGGATAATAGTAGGCTTCTCGCAGTAGGCTGATATAAAGCATTTTTGGATCTTAATAACGAAAGACTCCTGCAAGACCAAATTGCACAATGTACTGCACCGCCCCCTTGCTCCTAGTTGTCCACGGCGGCCATTTAAGTATGCCACGATCCTATGGTGACTGGTACATTTTGCATTGTTTTATCCATTACAAGCACCTCGCGCTCATCATGAACGATGATTCCCCACTTTTCCTTAGTTGATTTAACCAAAGCGTTTGACTCAGTCTAAAGAGATGCTCTGTGGAAAGATTGTGAATAACACAAAAACCCACCAAAATGATTAAAAGGATGTTTCATCTACCTTCAAGTGCAGTGCGATTGGATGACAGGTTCGGTAAGTTCTGTTGCTACAAAGTAAAGACAAAGGAATAAGGCGAGGTAGAATGGTATCTCCACTGATCTTTGCGATGGTTCTTGATGTGGTGCTCCAGCCAATACGAAAAATTAAAGCTAAGGTGGCAACAGTGAGCAATATTTGCATAAACTCTATCGTATTTGTGATGATATCATATTCGTATTGCAGACAACTTAAAAGCTGCGATATGATTGGTCTTAACTCTATTCTGATCTGGGTCTCTACATTAACTTAAAAAAGCCGAAGTGAATGGTATTTGGTAGAACCCAGACTGGTGTCAGATAGTTCCTTGACATCGAAACTATGGGAAAAGTACCAGATCTATAGTTTGGAATAGATTAGCTGCAGACACATGGGTGGAAACGAAATTAAGAAGCGTTATGCGTTGGTATTAGTAGAGAGTATCAAGTTATTTCAGCTCTGGAAGAACAACAGTCTTGGCAACAGCACAAACCAGTGGATTGCTTTCTGAACATCTTGCTCCAAGGCTTGGGGACAGCAATGGCAACGCTTAACAATCCTGAAAACAAAAATCTGGAAGCGACGGAAGTACAGACGTTAAGATTAATGGTAGGAA